ATAAATAAAACATAATGTTTGGTTGTTTTCCAAGTTTTGAATAGGATGGACAAAAAACAAGAACTTACCTATATATTTTGACAGTGATGCGCACAAAGTGCATTTTTTTAAATAGAACACCCAGTAAATTTTAAATTTGTTTGATTTGTTGTTTGATTCTCCTTGCAATGTACAGGGTGCTGCAATTTGGAGTGTTTTAACAAGAAAAACATACTTCCAGACCAGATAGAGGAAAATTGACATAGGTGTCATGGGATTAATTTTCGAGAAACGTCGATTGCCAAAAACCGTATCACGATATCTTCAATGGTACCACTGATACAGGGCGATTTTCGATTTTCCCCTATTATGAAAAATAGCTATAAGTTTTTTATTTATCAATTTTTTTTGTTTCTGTAAACACAATATGAAGACACTTTTTTGAGCACAATCCAGTGGCGGACTCAGTTTTTTTCTATATCGCTCCGATTTCGAGATATCGACCAAAGTCCGATATTTTCAAATGAAATACCCTATATATTAATAGATCATTGGATAGCTTCGTTTTTGCTGATTTCATTTATATAAAGTTCGATAGATTTATCTCTAACAGTTTTCGAGAAAAAAAATTATATCTGTTTTTGTCATAAGAAACAATGCGTTAGAAAAAGACCTTCCTCATTTTCCTTACACATATAAAATCCTTTTCTAACACATTGATCCTTACACGACAAAAACAGATATAATTTTTTTTCTCGAAAACTGTTAGAGATAAACCTATCGAAATTTATGTCATTGAAATCATCAAAAACAAAGCTATCCAATGAGCTTTTAATATATAGGGTATTTCATTTGAAAATATCGGACTTTGGTCGATATCTCGAAATCGGAGCGATATAGAAAAAAACTGAGTCCGCCACTGGATTGTGCTCAAAAAAGTGTCTCCATAATGTTTTTACACAAACAAAAAAAATTGATAAATGAAGAACTTATAGCTATTTTTCATAATAGGGGAAAATCGAAAATCGCCCTGTATCGATGGTACCATTGAAGATATCGTGATACGGTTTTTGGCAATCGACGTTTCTCGAAAATTAATCCCATGACACCTAAGTCAATTTTCCTCTATCTGGTCTGGAAGTATGTTTTTCTTGTTAAAACACTCCAAATTGCAGCACCCTGTACAATGTATATCAGGTTTGACTACAAAAATTTTAACACGTGAAAATATAGCCCATTTTGAACAAAAAAAGTTTGTACTACCTGGGGTCCAAACTCAACCATTTTTAAGAAAAAGGCCTTCGAAGTTTTGACATTTTTTGACGAATGTTTGAAAGGTAATGAAAAATTTAATCATTATGAGATATGGCACAACACACACGCTTGATTTGTCTTATTTTGAGCAGAATCGTTGCAAAATGCCCATTTAGCCGCCAGAATTCACAGGGAAAGATTTCCCAAGAGCACCCACCTGATGAAAGATCATTGTGCCCATTTAACAAAGATTGCGTGATACGGGAAGTGTGAGTGTGCAAAATCTGCGTGTTGATTTGAGTGTTTAGAGAACCTTTTATAAAAATTAATATTTTCATAATGAGTATTTGGCAGGTAGCTGAGTAAGTATTATATAATTTTTTTGGCAAGTAGCTAAGTATTATTTAATTTTTTTAGTGCAAAAATGTAATTGAATGCACGGCACATTTTTCATTTTTACTAGAAAAGTGCTAAAAATGCAAGTTATTATTTACATTATTTGAAAGCCAATAACAAACCAAAACGTAAACAGATGGAAAAAAAAATAACTCCTTGCAAAAAAAACCCTCAAATTTACCAGTTTTATTTACATTTATATCCTGGCAGAGATAATACCTGTACGATGTTGTCACGTTGATAACATTTTTCTAAATTTAAATTCTGCGATAACTCCGAAAATACTAACAATTGACACATGGTTAATAGGACCGTTTTGGCTTGAAATGGGTCATATTATCTCATGTTAAAATATTTGTACTTATACCTGATTTTAACCTGATACACCCTGTATACAATACAATAGGTACAATTGGATACATTTCACTTTATATTTACAAGCAAAAAAGCTTTATTTATTCTAATTGAAAATATTGACTACCGACACCAAGCTGGGACTCTGTAAGTAACGAGGTAAGTAATAAAGATATTTTCTCTATCTCTATTGATGTCTCCTCTCTATTGATTTAGACAAGAGAGAAGAAGACAGCAAGTGCCTTAGCGATAGGAATAACGATCTCTATTCGTTACAGAGTTCCAGTCTACAAAGGTAGGTAGGTAGAATAAATTAGAATGAATAAAACATTTCTGCATGTGAATATGGAGTGAATTGTATTTAATTCTATTGTATTGTATTGTATTGTATAATATTGCAATCGGATGAAACATATTATCAAACAAATTAAAAATTTACTGGGTGTTCCATTTAAAAAAATGCTATTTGTATCCATACCTGTCAGAATATATTAGTCTTTTGTTTTTTGTCCATCCTATCTAAAACTTGGAAAACAACCCTACAGTATGTTTTTTTATTTATTTAAATAACTTTAAAAATACAGAAATTATGTATGACAGTTTAAAATGTTATGAAGATAAAATGACCACATGGTAGTCTGCATAATATAAGCAATAATTTAATATTTTTTGTTACCACAAACCAACATCGACTTACATTATTTTTGTTTTTGGAGGAGACTCTGTGACTGAAGAGTCTGAAATGAGGTCTGAACTGGAAATTAATGTAGCTAATATGTAGAAATTATTTCAAATAATAAATAACCAACTTACTTTGAAGTATTGAAAACATTGGAAACAGATAAAGGATCCGAACCAGATTTCAAATATCTAAATCCATTAGGCCTAGTGCGTTATATCATTGAGGTTCAAATGATCTGAGCAAACATCAGCGGTTTTGGGTAGTCGCTTATTTTCTAATCCTAGAAGGCAAATCCATATACGCCTGGGCTTTGGATTTGTTGGAATCCTATAAAGACGCATATTTAATTTTAATCAAGCATATAAGGATTATTATTATTCTGCTTGGATATTTCCTATAGAAGTTCATAGAAAAAATTAACAACTGGTAACTCGAAGATTTACAAGCTTCAAAAAATACATTATACTTTTCAGTGATCTTATCTGATATATCTTATCAATCCAAATAATTTCCTCAATCTTGGAAGAAATTTGATATTTTTGTGGCGAAGTACATATATCCTACTCTACGCCACTGGTCTGCTATCATAATATAATCCCCTACTCACAGAACATATCACCTATAGAAAAATATCTCAAATGGGAGAATCGCGAGGAAGGTTTTTAGTTAGGTTTTTAGTCAACGATGGCGACACTGTCGGGAGACAAGAGAAATTTACAGGTATCTTTGGTGTGGACAGTGATTTCTGTTGGTTGGTTTTGTCATTTATTTTGTCATTTTAAAGCCAAAATTTGAATTTTTAAATTGTGTTGTTGTAAACCCTGGTCCCCACGCGCGTTAAAGTGAAAATTCAAAAAGTTTTGGTTGAAAAAAACCCTAATTTTTGTTCGTATTTTTTTGTATTTACTCGTTTGTTTCGTCTCGTTCGTATTTGTATTTATTATTCGTATTTACTTTACGATCTACCTATAGCTGCGTGTCTCTTGCTAACTTACTAACTCTTTTTGCACTATGTTCGACATCGGAAACTTCCTACCAGTCATAGTTTTCAAAAAAATGAGGCGAAAAGAGCTAAAAGGAGTCAGCAAGCGAAATGCAGTTGAACATTGAAAATTATTTGAAATAATAAAAATATATGAAAAAAATCAATTCGCCTTTTTGTCAAGAATGCTCGATTAGTTGGGTTTTCAGTCAACGATGTCGCTGTAATTCATAACCGGTACATAACATTGCAGATACTTTTCTAGAGGTGATATGTTCTGTGCCCCTACTTACCTATGAAATGAAATTTCCGGGTTCTAATAATCCAATTTTTCACACTCTCAACACTGTCTAACCATATTGCTGTATCATATTAGTCTTAAAACACACAAATAATTCACTTTTCAAACATAAAATATCAGAAAAACCTCACAAAAACGATTTCACGATGCTTTCTAACAAAAGGCCACAAAGCACAATCAAACCATAATCAAACTGACATTAACTGTCAGCTTTGACGCCGTTTTACTATGCGCTGTTATCACGTTGTAAAATAAATAAGGATACTTGAATAATAACAATATTTTCTAAGCTCTTTTTTTACTAAAACAAACAACTTCAAATTATCAAAAATCTGCATTATGAAGTTTTTCCTAGTTACTCAGTTTATATGCACTTTTATAAAATTTAAAAAGGCATTTTTTCCGTAATTATTCGACAAGAAGTTCAATAAAGGTTTTTTCCAAAATATAATCGGCAACCTTTTGATTCGTCTAAGATGGCGTCGTTTAGACCTGATCGTTTAGACTATGCTTTCTCACTGGCACCTCGTCAAAATGTAAATAACGGCCTCTATTGTTTTTTATTCCTCTGAGGTTTCAGCACATTTTTCACTCACCTGTGGATTGGATAGTCCATATGTCCATAGTTCCAGAGAGAGTATAATACTCGATTTCCCTGCATGATACTCTTTTGTAATGCGGTCATGAGCAAGATTTTCGAAATAGGATGAATTCATTCGTAAAACTTTCTGTGATCGATATACCTAATTAATTTTTCTTCTGTAATAAGTATCTCTTTTCGAGAAAGTCCTTGTGGAAAGCGTGTGGGACTAAAACAGAATAAACAAAACTCGAATACACACCATCGCCAAAAGACAGAATGGAAAAATAGATTTTGGCGATACACACTTTCTTCAGTGTTGAAATATTTATTTTCTTCACGTTGAATGTCGATGGCTATTATTTAAAACCAACACTTAGAATAATTGGGCTATACATTTGCAGGTATTATACATATAATTATCTTGGTGTACAAAATTCAATTTTAATAATTCCTAATTATTGTTTTCCAGTTGGAAGAGTCCACAATCCGTCAACGTCTTGGCGGTCGTCGCGACTCTGCCACGCAAATATGTTCGATTTCGCCGCCAACCGAAACCCAGGAAACGTCTCCGCCTGCATCTGGAAGACGACGCCGATCTTCTCTGGCACAACTCACCGACATTTTACGAGAATGGGGCGGCGCAAAAAAACAGCAGAAACAATTGCACCGTCGCGAAACTTTGGCCGATTTGGCCAGAAGTTTGCCGTGGGGTCGTCAGACTACCACTGAAACTGGACCCACTCCCAGCATATGCACCAAGTAAGTTAATTTAAAAAAGAGAGTTCTTTTCTGGCTTAAAGAATGAGTTAAACGGAATATATTTTATACGCAGGCTAGGCATATTCGTGCCGGTACCAAGAATAACGCGTTCAACCAACACGTTCTCAACACCTATACGTAGTAGGACACATTATGGATTCAATTCTTTTATTTATAGACCAACACGAAATATGACAATTAAACTCAGGTTAGATATTGTTTTGAACATCACACAAAAATGTGTTATTGACCTTATCCTAGTAACTCCAATACTTCTTCAATCGATCTGATTTTGGCTATGGTTGATCTTGAAATACCCACAATAATGGGTAAGTTTGTAAAGGACGCATTGACATAATTATTATTGATCATAGTCGAAGAAAGTTTTGGAATAATTCAAAGTTTAATTACAATTTTGTTGTTGGAAAAACTTTTCTAATCAAAGAGTCTTATAAGTTAGGCAAGGTGATGTTTTACAGAGTTTGTCCTACAACTGTCGAGCTTGCACTGGGAGGCCTATTGGCCCATTGTGTTCCCTTCTTCAGCTCAGTATTTCCATTGTCCCTAATCTTTCCCGCGTCTTCAAGGTGTAGGTAGGCGTTCCTCTTGAAGGAGGAAGCCCCACTCAACAATGACTTCACAGCGTCCTGTGATTGTTCCTACTAAGGTGCTTATCGGTCTTTAATCCAGTTTCAATAATTTCCTAGTTTCCTCTACATCCACGTACGGCCACAGAGCTCGCGATTTTACGCAGTCATTGCACCTTCTGCTATGTAGCTGCGTCAGGGTTTTCGACGAATATTTGGTCACTATGTAGTCCGTTGCTTGGTGGAATATTTCGGCCTCTTTGTGGTCCATCATCCAGTGTCTTATAAGTAGCTACTGAATATTTAATTTTCTAATTCATTTCATTCTAAAAATTATTAGGTTTCAAAATTTCAAGTCACCTATTACCCAACCAATCCAATATTTTATCTTGAAGACATACAAACTACCTATATCTTTACGGTTGCCGTATCTGTCTTGTACAATTGTTAACATTTTGGCCATGGTATAGGTAATCTTCTTGTTCAGTCAAATACTCTACGTATTCCACGCCTATTTGGGATCTATAATCAGTTTTTGGAGAACCTTTAGGATTTTTAATAATTTCCCAAAGCTAGATATTGAGAATTTCTTTTTCTCGTTTGGCAACTTCATCTAAAAACCAATACCTACTAAACATAGGCATATAATAGATTACTTTTTTCATTTATACAAGATCAACAGGAATAGCTTAAATCAGGCATTGAAGAAGTCACAATTTGTGTGATTCTGTTTGATTTTTTTGCCAGTTTGAAACTAACCCAATCACTATATCAACTACCTTATATTGCGCATGTGGCTACAAATACAGTACAACCCATAAATAAACCCCTCATCGTGATGTGCATGAACAGTGTATTATTAAAATATATCCGACGTAAATTCTATTGACATACCTACTCACGTATTTAGGTCTAAAGTTAGCCCGGCATGCATATACTTCGTCGTTTTTGTGAAAGCAGCATGTCGCATTATCCGAAGAAGGCCTTTTATTTTGATATAAAGAACACAGATGATGGGTCACAGCGACTATGTGAAAACTTCCTCAAAGTTTTGAGTAGGTACTCGGGCTTCAGGAGCATTTTATCTTTTAGCGGAGCCAGTTCATCTTCACCCACAAATAATTTGTCATCCTTTAGGGCTCAATTCGATTACATACCTTGGATTATGTTTTACTGGAACCAGAAATGCCTCTGTTTCAGTGTGCCATAAATTACGCTTCGGTAACAAAGTTTCGCTGCACAAAAGCATACATGCACATCTGGAATTAAGTTGGATGATTGTTCAACCTGGGATTGGAATATCCATTTTTTCCATATAAAAAATAAAATGTATATAAAATATTCATGAAGAATACATAATAGTTATTTATATTACTAGTACGGTATGAGCTTCATTACAGTAACGAGTGGGGAATATTGCCAAGACGAGGTCGTAGACCGAGTCGTGGTAATCACACGAGTGGTGTAATGAGCGTTCCGTACGTGTGATATACAACATTTTATGTACGACCCAGATTTTTTTCATATATTCGAAATGGTTTTAATTTTTCACAAAAGATTATCAGCTGTATGCAACATCCTCTGTTAACTTAAAAGCGCCTTCTAAAACTGGTACCTTTAAAAATTTCTATGGCTTAAAATACACATTTTTGAAAGTGACCAGTTTTAAAAAGCGCTTTCAAGTTAAAAGAGGATGTTGCATACAGCGGTATATTTATAATTTTTGATAAATGAATTTTAAAAAGTGCCGTTTTTCAATAAAAATGAGTTACGTAATGAGCTCTCATTACATCACTGAGTGATGTAATGAGAGTTCATTACATCACTGAGTGATGTAATGAGAGTTTATTACATCACTGAGCGATGTAATGACAGTTCATTACATCACTGAGTGATTTAATGAGCTCATTACATCACTAGGCACGATAATGCAACTTATTACGTAACTCAAACAGGCTAAAATGAGTTACGTAATAAGCTCTTACAGTGTAGGTCGTACATAAAACAAATAACGTTAACGCTTAGAAAAAAAAATTCAACAAGGATTTTTTTTTTTAATATGAGCGTTCAAGCTGAAATCATTGGAAAAGTAATTTCGCAGTCAGCATGTTGTGCTAAGGTAACTGAAAAAATCACGGAAGAAATGTTGCTAATAATAATTATTATGAACCACGAACGAAAGATGAAAAACGCATCAAAAACAACAGTTTTATCTAAAGTTATTGTATAAACATGAAAATAAAACCCTTTATTAAAGAATATGCATGCGCGCGAATTATTTTGTGGGTTGGGGAAGTAGGTGGTGTATTGATATATTAATGGCATTTTAATTCTAGGAAGCGTCGAGAATCAAGCGCCGATTCCGGTATCAGAAGCATGGGCTCCAAATCACGTCGGGATTCTCAGCATAACGCAATTTCCGACTTCAAAAACGAAGTGGCCAAATTATGGCAACGTAGAGAATCGGTTACTACGACCATAGTGAGTCCCAGCTCTGGATCCAATCGTAGAGACAGTGGCGAATCTTCTAAAAGTGGCAGACGGGATTCCACGTCTCATTCGCAACATGCTTCCCGACGAGGATCTGGAGAGAGTGGAAAAAGCAGTAAGTATTTGCTGGATTTGAACTTAAGCTGGCAGGAGGATAATTTTCCGGGTTATATTCTGGGTCTCTCACTTGATTACAAATAAATCTTAATAACTTAGAATATCCTCCTTTTGATTTCATGATCTAGGTTTAGGTCATAGGCAGACATGAGGCTATCACTGGACCAACTAATGCAATCTGATAACATAATAGTTATGTTTTAACAGAGATGAGAATCGTTCTAGAACGGTAGTTTCCAGTCGATCAATTCATTTGTCAAGTAGGATAAACGTTCAACTTATTAAAAAATAAATAAGTGGACAACTGGAAATTACTGGTTCCGGAATGGTTCTCATCTTTGTTGAAACAGAGCTCCAGAAATTAAACAAGAGTCACTTCAACACTGAGCATACTCAACAATAGAAATAACCGTAATGGAAAGGGTATAAGACAGTAGAGAATAGTATCTAGGCAGCCCATAACGGTTCCAACTCACTTTCTCAACCTTCGAAATATCCAATTTCTCTAGCCTCGCAAAGTATCGCCCCCCTATTGAGATTTGTCGGTCCAACCACTTAATCCATATTCAATTCTATGATAAAATCAGTTTGTATGTAGCTATCCATGTATTATCTATATCAAAATTGTGAAAGTATAAACGATATCTCGGATAAAACACAAGATACCTATATATCTAGGTATGTCCAACAAATGAGTCTTTTCCACGATTTTTCACCTCCATGAATTTAACCTTTTTATTGAAATGTAAACAAAGTGTAATTTTATTTTATTTATTTGGGATTTAATTAACTAAAATTGTGCCATTCCCATTTCCAAAAACCCATTTACCTGTATTTCGGTTTTTATTGGGGCGTCTCCTAATTTGGTCCCAAACACAAAAATGTTCCAATTTCAAATCTACCCATCTTGTTTGGTCCTGAGGGTACCGTGGTCGGTGGACTAATTAAAATAGGAACTTCCCATTAGAATTTTAAATCTGATGCATTCAAAAAAAACATGTAACTATAAACAAAAAAATAACAACATATGTACCATTTAATTTTGTTAATGTCCGACTGGTATATTATTCGAGAAATAATGACATTATGACAAATTCAGTTCAATATGTAATAATTCTCAAGGGAGTTATTCTAAAAAATAACGCCCTAGGCCGTTATGACTATTTTTTCAAACGGGAAATAATTTCCTACGACTATTTTTTTGCAGGTACTTGATTTGTAGATTAATTTAATCAAAATTCATTGAAAATTTTCTCATATAAAAAATAATTAAGTCGGATATTAAACGTTGAAGGCACCACGGGTATCAAGGATATTAAAACTTTCGGTCAACGTATATCCCTCGGGCCAGAGGCGGCGAGGCCCTCGTGAAATATACCATTGACCTCAAACGTTAATATCCTTATAATACCCTTGATACCTTAATAACTATTGAAGGTTTATTAAAATTGATAATGGTTTCAGGTTTATACAATAAACATTACAAATGCAATACATATAAGGTACCTGACCCAAATAAGGCCATGTACCTAATAAGGCCAGTGCCCTTTATTGCTTAATAGTGAATCCCATTTTAAAAAAATGCAATATTATTAAGGTGCTTATTCTGTAAGGCTTAACGATCCCGTTAAATAACGGAAATCGGTAAATAACGGTCGGACCTATTCTGTAACATCCTCGGTAACATCGCTTGTTAAGATTGATCGTTACGAATTAGTTATTTAACGATGACTACGAACGATTGTCGTTACTAAACGATTTGCCCTATTCTGTATCACCTTACGATCGGTATTTAACTATTGATAACCTATAAATTTGATCGTTATTAAACGGCAGCTATTGGGGTTATCGTTGTTAGTGAGATCAGTGGTGAATCCACGTGAAAGTGAAAAATACTGCAATATTGATATTGTTGCAAGGATGGAGAATATTTTGAATGAAGCGCTGGAGGAATTAGACCTAAGAAATGATAAAAATTTAATATTACAATTGAGAGATTTCAATAACCCGTTCAATTTACCTGACAAGACGCCGAAGGAACACACGTCATTGTGAAACTGTTCTAAACCAGTTTTGAAAAATGTTTCAAAACTTTGAGACGCGAGAAAATACCTCTGGTACATTTAGGTTCCAAAGGACAGGTTCATTTTCAAATATACAATATATGTATCGGTTTATAACATTCTACGTCTTCCGATTCCCGATCTCCAACCATCTCTGTCAATCCAGCCATCCTCTTCCAAGCCTCTGTCTCTCATTTCCTCGTCTACTCCACTTCTCCAGCTTCTTCTTGGTCTGCCGCGTCTTCTTCTTCCCTCTGACTTCCACTCAATAATTTGCTTGGTTACCTTGTATATCTGCCATTCTTTGTACATGTCCGAACCAAATCAGCTGTTTGTCCTTTATATCATCTACTATTGTGTGTTTTACGTCCATAATCTCCCTTATTCTCAGATTTGTTATCCTTTCCATTTTTGACCTGCCTGCCGATCTCCTCCAAAAGTCCATTTCAGTTGCTTCCAGCATTTTGCGGTTCTGTTTTTTAGTGGATAGAAATAAACTAAATAAATATGCCTACTGGCCGTACGACAATGAACCACGTGCTTGGCGTTCGGCAGCAGCACACATCAATACGATAGTTCGGTTAATCTTCAAAATTGGGTTTGTGCGCATATGACGACACCGTACTCTTTACTCTTGACGCGGACTCTACCACCTTTTTAATTCCGAAGCGTGAAGTCACACGTTAGTTGAACTAAAAAACACTCTGGAACGGGCGCACTGCTTTATGCTAGTGTGTCAAATTTTGATGCATGCAACCCAGCAATACGGAGGGAATTTTGTCTCGCTCGCACTCATTGCGATTGATGTAATAGGAAAAAGAACTTCTTCATCTTCCTAACTTTAATGATCTAAACACATCAAACAGCTGTTCTCAATAGCCGCCATAGTGCAGAGAGAGATGCAAATCCCTCTTGTTTGTTGTCCTTCCTGACACAAACCCTCGCGTAGAAACAATTATGCAGCCACCGTTCCAGTGTGTTTGTTTAGTTTATTGCAGTTTACCGACAATTGGCGAGAAAATGACGAAGGACGAATATGCACCAATAGCACCAAAGTTACCTTCCCACATAAGCCCGAATACCGAATGTTCGCCGAATACACGTAGCGTCTGGGACCGGCTTAAGCAATCGTTCGTAGCTCGTAGCGGATCGTTACAAACTTTCCCAACGACACCGCCTAACGATCAACCATACAGAATATACTTTATAACGACTATCGTTGAGTCTGTCGTTAGAAAACGATCGTCCGGTAACTAATCTTAACGCAACGATCAAGTTACAGAATAAGCACCTAAAAAGAAATCTATAATGCAAATCAAAAATTATTGCAAAGGTTCCTAGCAACTCGTCACATGTCGAAAAATGGCCAACCACAAATTTCATATGTCACGTTATAACTTTGAGGCTCAATTTGCTTTTATACGTGTTTATAAAGTGAATGGAGCGATTGTAATTTTTTAACGGGCATTTATGTTTTGAGAAAGCTACAAAGTAAGGTGCTTATTCTGTAACTTGGTCGTTGCGTAAGGATTCGTTTATTAACGATAGCTTTTTAACGATAGACTTACGACAGATCGTTATAGCGTTATTTTGTAACGTTAATCGTAAGTCATATAGATGTGTGTCCTTGACGAGTAGTAACGACAAGCTACGGTTGCTATGAATTGTCTAAACTCGAAAACAGAAAACTTGTGAGGTGCTATGGTGAGGTGCGCGCCGTCATAACAAAAAAAATAATAATTACAATAAAAATGAGTAACAATACTGAAAATAAAAGTGTGAAAAAACCAAGGGCTCAGAAGACCAGTAGGGAACAATATGTTTTATATTTAAACGAGTTGGAGTGCAATTAAAGTTAGATGACAAATGGTCCGACTAGTAGGTACTTAGATGAAAAAAAGATCACTAAAATTGTGCATATAAATAAATATATTAGATTGAATAGAGATAAGTAACTTACAATACTGTACTGCAAATTCAGTAAACTATAAACTCCGTAGGAAAATACAAGCGTATAGTTTATCGTTTCAGCGTATAAATGAATAAAAATCCCAAATTCCAAATTTCAAAAACGCAAATAATACCAATAAACACCAGTCAGCTGACGAGTCTGACGAAATTACGCATGAGCAGCCGAACCGAACTTTTAGTCCTAACAAAAATCCTGGGACTGCTAGAACCGATTCCTAATCAATTAAAACCAGTTCTATGTGATCCGCGAACGTAGAACTGTTACTAAAAATTCAGAATTTTATTATCCGCGAACGCCACTTTTTACACTGCGCATGCGAATAGTCCCTGAACCGATTCGGAATCGGACCCGCGAACAAAGCTATTAACTTATCTGGTCATTCGAAGGGCGTATGCCTTGATACTCCACCAATTGAAACTGTGCCACGCAACAAACGTAGGCATGAAACATTATCGGGTTCACTACAACAGCTGCTACAGGCACGCACAGAAAATATGAACCTTCTACCAATGAGTTCTGAGCCAGTGTTGCAGAAAATTGAAAAACACCTTGAAGTAGTGCTTCAAGGTGTTTCAAGTGTAGGGATTCAAACGAAACGACTACGGCTGGAACAGTTCAAACCTAAATTAAAATATCCCAAACACATGCCTGATGAAAATGAGAACAGCTCTGGAGACGAAGAGCTCGAAAGCAAAAATGGCTCCGAAGAAGAAGAAGGTACAAGTATCACTGACGCGGCGGAAGAAAGTGATAATTCGTTGTAGGTAGTTAAAATTCTATAATTAGCATTATGTTTTATTTTATTAATATGTGAATGTTTATTTTTTATTATGCGTTATTAAAAATGTTCCTAATTATTTGTTGTCTGGTTTCCAGTCCTTGTTGCAAACCGTCCGGCTCCTCATTATCTTCATCATGATCGGCGGGGACGTCCTCTTCCACTATAATTTCTTCGTCGTCAAT